TCATCGGATGGTCAGGAAGTATGCGGCAGTCATATTCTTTCATTAAGGAACTCAACCAGATATTGTTTCTCTCATATTATTTCATCGGATGTGCAGGAAGTATGCGACAGTCATATTCTTTGATTAAGGAACTCAACCAGATATTGCTTCTCTCCTGGTTCTTTTACTCCTTTTACTTCATCACATGAAAAATGTGGCGGGTCTGTTTACATCAGTGCAAATCTCATTGAAATATTTGAGCAAATTTCTTTCACTCACCAGTTGTAATATAAAAAGCTTTTGCCTAAAGGAAGAATAGGTAAGAACATTTCTGGAAGAGATAGTAAACATGACTTATCCTTTTGCTTGTCTTTTCCAGCTGAGCATGAATCCTTTGGGGGACCAAGGAATAGAGCAGATTCTCAAAGCTTTGGCCATTCACCCAAATTTGCATTTTCTAGGAATTGAGGTAAGTGCTTTCTTTATAGTTTTGCGCTGAGCAGCTGCTCAAAATGCTCGGAGTTTATTGATTGTGTATGGCTCTTTTTGTCTATGTAGACGGTCAGTTTAGCGTAAGGTGGTCTCAAGGTTGTCTTCATGAAGCTTCTTTCATGGCTAATTCTTCCTATGTTTGAAGCGTAGATTCTAACGGAGTGCTTGCATGTCAGTGAGGTGGATTGAAGCTCTGTATTTTCACTGTTTTCCTTTCGTTGTTGGTGCTTCTCATCCTGGTTGTTTCTGAGGCTGCTCTCTTGCATAATTCTTTCCTTTATCATACTCCTCCATGTTTCCCTGTCCTCAGCTATTTCTTCCTAGATGCTGACATCTACTCCAAACTTAGATAAACTTTTTTTCAGGTGTCTTTATACCTCAATTTTGGCCTTCCTCTTGGTTTCTTTCCCTGGGCTAGTTCTCCTTAGAGAAATTGCTTTGGAATCAGGTTGTCGTCCTTTCTCTAGACATGGCCAAGCCATCTCAATCTTCTTAAACACACGATAATTGTCATGTTCTGGAGGTTTGCCCGGGCCAACCCTTCAACATTTGTAACCTTGTCACGCCACGAAATGCCTAAGATGTTGTGGCAGCATCTGAGATGGAAAATGTCGAGGCGCTTTTCTTGCCTGCTGTACAAGTTCCATGTTTCAGATCCATAAAGGAGTGCGCTGAGGACACATACTTCGTAAATCTTGATCTTTATTTTGATAGTCAATTTTCCCATGCTCGTTTTGTCAGTCTTCCAAAAGTTGTTGTTGCTTTCCCAATCCTGATGTTGATCTCTTCATCAAGTGATGTATTAGCGGTGATGGTAGACCTCAGGTAACAGAACTTGTCGACTGTCTGAAGTTCACTTTTGCAGCCTCCTCCCAGAATTATTGAGATCTTGACTAAGCTAAATGCCTGGGCTTGACTGTATGGAGAACGTTCCTTGCTCAATTTGCAGGAGCCCCCTCTTGACTTCGCTGATTTAGTCCAAAGGAACGATGACATCAATACATTTGGAACCAGTAACGTTGCAGGGGCTGCCAAAAGATAGTTCGGATCATTACTCTCCGTCGGCTGCCTCAGGGGCCGTCCCTGCGGATTTTCTTAGGGTTTACTCCCTTAGCCTTTCATACGAAGTAGGAACAGCTGCAGGGAGTACCATCTACTGTCATTATGGTATCAGCACTGATCTGACAGTGTTTTATTGATTGAGACATTATATTAGGAAAAAAATAACCTGATGATTTTATAGTCAGTCTTTGTTCCTCTTTGTCACCTGAGTGATGACAGTGCAGTGCTTGGTGTCTGTCTCCCACTCCTCCTCCCTTCCACCTCTTCCCTCCCTTCTCATTCCTCTCACCTCCTCCCCTACCCCCTTCATTTCCACTCCCCTCCCCTCCCCTTCCCCCAGCCTCCCTCCCCCTCTCCTCCCCCATTGGTGTGTTGTGGGATAACAAGGAAAAACTCAAAAGAAAATTCAGCCACGTTTCCACTGAGATGAACATATGGGATGTCAGTGCTGCTATGTTATCTGTCTTCTTTCCTTCCTCCTTCTTTTCTTTTTCCTTGGGACCTGTGCTGTGTCTCCAGATTGACTTATTTGTATCTTGTAGGGTCTTTAAGTTACATAACAATAAAAAACCTGAAAAAATTGTTGCTTCCTCATAATAATTCTGATACAACTCATCATTACAATTGTTTGATCAGTGGTAAGAAGATGTCTGGGTTTGAATTGATGCTCCATCTTCAGGAAGGGGTATCTCATTAAAATTAATTTGCCACTCTTTCAATTTTGTCATGTGTTAGTGAGCTATTCATAGTAAAAATGAAATGACTTAATTTTTCAGCATTACGGAACAGTTAAATAGGTACCATTTAACATATTTGTGTGAAATTGAAACTCTAATTTTTCTTTATGAACACCATGTCAAATAAATGTATATGCATTTAATTTTTTTATTTTATGCATGGCATGCACTTTTCAAAGGCTCTTGCCATGTTTATTCTTCTTTTTCATTTACATGTTTATCAAGATCTGCACCAAATGCAATATATCATGTCTCTCTTTCAAAGCTACCTTGACTGCTACCTTACAACCAAATAGCTTCCTTGATAAACAACTTTGTTTCCTCAAATTTAAGGGCACCATGTATGGGAAAAAAATGCTTTAAAGTAGAGTCTACTTTTTTCACAAAAGAAATCTTGTATCTTAAAAGTTAATTGTGCTTGAAAATAACATTATGTAATATAATACAAATGCTAATATTTACAAAACTATCTTTTTTTTCCGATGTGTTCCTTGGTTATTTAAATTAAGTGAATTACCAAATATTTTTGCGCTGTTTCTTTAAGACTTTCTTTGTTTTTCTTTTTAATATCTTTAGAACTGTGCGGTAAGTTTAGATGTTTGCATTTGTGCCTGCCCATGGATGATGGGTTTTGCCGTGTTTTTCTCTTATGTTGCTTTAAAAGTTGTTAGAAGGTCAGATGTTGTGCTGCAATGGAAACTTTCGTGGTTGTGATCATTTCAATCATTTAGTATTTTCAGTGATACAAAGTCAGTTGCGTGTGGGATTTATAATTACTTGTAATTTCTGTGGGTTGTTTTGATTTTCTCTTGGTCTAAATGTCTGCCCCCCGGGGCGGTGCTACTGAATGAAGTGTCTTTATGCCATTCCCAATGGGGGAGGACATTAATATGTTCTTATGCTCAGTAAAATTGTAAATGGGCTGATTCATCAATGTCATGCTCATAACTGTCCCTGAACCGCAACGGGGAACTTTTTCTTTTTCTTTCCTAATCCTTACTATCGTCATTTTTCCACTACCCGGTACTTCTTATGTATATTTGTCACACTCTTGTGACCCGCTATTTCCGGGGTGCCTTGATAGTCGAAGCAGACTTTGTGCTGTAGAAGCTAGAGAGGTGAGCAGAGTAAGCCTGATTCCCTGTTAGGTCTTCTCTGTTGACATCCACCCCTTGGCGCACGCTCATATGACCTTATGCAGTTGTGAGCTTCTTAAAACTTCCACTAAAACTAACGAAATGTCTGCCATTATGTTTTTTTGGCTTTTTTAAAGACTGGAAAATTGTTTGTTCATAATATGATAAAAAGGTGAAATTTGAACAGGAATTGAACATGCAAATACATATATTGATATCTTGTCTAAATCTGGTGTTCGTCAGAATACTGAAACTAAAGAAGCCAACATTTTTTCCACCTGATGGGTAATTTTACAAAAATTTATTTTGGCTCAACACCTTTCAAATGTATTTAAAAACTCATTTCTCTGTGGATTTTAATTAAAAAAACGTTGATCAAAGGAACGGAAAAAGTAAATTGCAGTTTTCAAGGACACTCAAGCTTTGGAAGTCACCATACTTTGGAGACTTTTCTTGTTAATTTTACCTCTGACACCAGGCTATCCCCACATCCTTAATTCGCACATAAATCTCGACTTTAATTAATGATATAAGGGTTGTTTATTTTTTGTGCATGCTAATTTTTTATGCCCTTCTCGAACTGTAAATTAGTTTAATCTTAAGTTTTCTTTCTTACACCAATAAATGTACAGAATTCTATTATGCAGATATGAGAAAATCCTTTATTAAGTGCTAAATAATATAGAAGTCTGAGGATTTGTGTAAAAGTATGTCCTGGGATTGTATATAATCATGAGTTTGTTATGAGAAGTGGAGTAATTGAAACAGCACTCTCATAACCATCATTCACTGTAACCATCATTCACTGACCTGAGCACCTCTGATGAAAAATTTGTTGGTCTATGTCATGAACTTGTACTTGCACCGTGTATGATCTTCATTACATCCCCATCACTCCCTGCAGAAAAGCTCACTGGTGGATTTTTTGCTCACGCTAAATCTCGGAAGTGGACACTGCAAATAATTTTTGCTTACCAGCTTGTTTCTTTAAATATTTTCAAAATGGCAGCCATAATCATGCAATCGGTTACATAAAAACAATTTGAAAATCTTTTGTTTCTGATACTCTTTTAGGAAATGTAATATGGATGGTTGCTTTAGTATTAGCTATGGTTGTACTATACTGATCTACCATCCATTTTACTCTGATCATTCTCAGAGGGCCTATATGAAAGTTTGTTTTCACAATTGTCTTATTGATAGGAAAGTGTTAAAGAACTGTTATTGGAGATAAGTGTAATGTGGTTAATAAAACACATGTTTTTTTAAATCTGGAGGAACCAGGTCTTGGCTATCTTAGAACCAGGAATTCATATCTGTGAAATCCACAATCTTATTTCCTTCAAAGTGACCTATTTCATGTGTAGTAGCATGTTAAAATCTGGCTAAAGAAAACAAGAATGCATTTTATTAAAATGGACTTTCCAAGGTTTCCTGATACAGACTCAGTCCTCCTGCAGCTGGATATTAAGACAAAGTTGCTGATTTTTTATAGGCAGAATATGATGTCTTTTAGTTTTAGTAAGTGGCACTTGCAATATAAATAGACCATATGAGTTATGGTGTTTGCCTCTCGTTCAATAGGTCCTGGGTTCGAAACTTGACAGAGAGAGAAAATATTTTTCTCTAAAATTTTCTCCTTTCACCTCCTTTCCTGCTCTCTATCTATGTTCTTTCGTCTGCTTTCATCTCCACTTTCTGCCTCCTGCCGCCTTTGCCCCCCTCCTTTGGGCTCCTGACTCTTTCTGTAGCCTTTCTTCTGCTACTCCTTGGCTCCTTCTTACTGCTGTACCACTGATCTTAGGGTAGGTAAGATCCAACCCCTATACAGCCTTCTCAGATAAGGCAAAAAATCTCAAAGATCTCGTGTTGCGCACGTTAGAGATCCCTTGGTGGTCCAAAATCAATTATAGTAAGCTTCTGCGGCCACCTGGGCAAAATTCAAAATATTAAATTCCTTCCAAGCTGAAAATGTTTAATGCTTCTTGTTAGCTCATATGACCTTATTATGCAGTTGTGAGTGCCGAAAAAAACTCTTATATCTAACAAAAAACACAAAAATTTTCTTCTGATGGGACTATTCTTTTACAGACAAAAGCTCAGGTTTTTTGGTGTCTTTTCTAAGCATCATTTTAAGAGTTTATTTGTGTGCTATTGATGGTTACATGCGACACCCCCGAGCACCGCTTCCTCATACGTGATTTTGCCTTTTGATTTTGTCACTTGTAAGTTTTCCTGTGGTTTTGAAATATTTGCAAAGAAATTGTGGACTTGGCATTTTTCAGTTTCAGTGTCATATGCATGCTTCATTCATTATTTCTAAAGTTTTTGCTTGACACACTGCGTTGTCATCAAAGTTGTTTTATTCTTTGTGTAGAGGGTGTGATTTCAAAAATTACTTTAGTAAAGATCATTATTGTAGCAGGATAGTGATATAAAATAAAACGAAAACCCGTCAAATTTAATTGGTTTAATGAAAAAATGGAAACGTTCTTTAACATAGAACAAACAAGACGCATTAAAACATTTTTTTACAGCTGCTATGTTTATTTCATTATTATTCTTTTCATTTTCTGAAATAACATCAATGCACTTCAGTACCCTTGTTAATAGTATAGAAAGGAATAAATATACTTTTGTGTAAGCTAATGATTTGTTCAATTTCTTGGTTGCAGGTTTAAGGAAAAGCATTCATTAGGGAGTGAGGATGGAATTGTGGAAGTTCTCACAGACTGTTTATTGCCAAAGCCATCACTGTGCTTTTCTCTCCTTCCACAGGAGCTAGGAGTGACAAAAGCTAATGCTACACTCATACAGCAGCTGGAGACAGAAAGAGGAATTGTCATTCTTCATGGTGGAGCTGGGGGCTTTAATAGAACATCAGTAAGTCTTTCATTTTGGTATTGTTTAGTTTATTTAAGATCTTAAAATGTTATTTAAGGAAATAAATGTGAATGTGCAATGGCACCTATATATTAGAGAGCCTGAAGTGCATGTAGGTGAAGTCAGTGAAGTTGTAATTTAAGGTGCTTATTTGTAACAAAAGACTCTCACCTATACAAAAAATATGAACAAAGATAATTTCTTCTCTTGAAAGGTGTTTTTGTGAACTTATTGAAGATTTGTGTAAAGAGAGGGTTGGTATTGTAAGTAATTGAAATCGATGGAATGCAGAAAAAAGGTGGATAGTGTGGGGGCGGGGTGGGGGGGGGGGGGGGGGTGGTGTGCTAGAATGAAGTTAGTGTCACAGTGTATTTACAAAAAAGTGAATCAATAGAAAAGAAACTGTTGAAGAAAGCTCCCTTACTTTTATAGGAGCAAGTAACAGATTTCCAATATGAGAGGATACCTTTGTCAGCAATGTATAAAGAAGGGAAGTATTCTAATTTATCTTCTTGTCAATTCTGGCTGCAGGAAGAGAAGGTAATATTGTGCTATTCTTGTTGTCAAATTGTACAATGCTTACAAATATTTGTGAAGTGCTGTTTTGTTTAAAAGTATATATCTAAATTTTCTGTAGAGTGCACGATTAACTTCTTTGAGATAAGCACCTCGTTTGAAAATGCATACTTACCAGTGGGATGTATTTTACCAGAATGTGTTTGCCCTGTGTTTTTGTGCTGGGATTCAAAGATGAACGCAGAGTTGAATAATTTTGCCTGTGGATATTGGGATATTCAGTGTGAAAAAGTCTTTTGCTAATGTAGATCTACCAAAAGATTGTATTGTCTTGTAGATAATAACATTTTCTTTTTAGTCTAATAATACATCTGAATGAACATGTGATGTGACGTTGAGTGTATTTATTGTGTGAGATACATTTTGTTTGGGAAATAAGTGTCTGCATGGTTGTATCATTATTGCTGTTTTTATCTTTGCTTTTGTGGGCTTTTATGCATGGGCTTTTATGTATGTGCCAAAGTTTTTTTTTCCGATACACTGATGTGTTTGGCAACTGCTTTTTAAAAGTGCAAGTGCGATTGACTTTTGTTATGTTTTTCTATTTGATCCTAGCACTTTTAAGATTCACAGGTGGTTGATGGGTGCTGTAGTATGGTTTGCTTCTTCTGTCCTATCAAACGTCTATTGTCCATATCGCTCCTCCTTATTTTCTTTGTATGTTACTCTCTAGTTGCACCTCTAATCTTCGACACTTATCTTACCTATTTGTGTTGAAAGTGTCGTAAAACTCTTACTGAAACTAAAACTGCTGGTTCTCTTGTGGTTCTTGCGGTTTAGAGAAAGCTGTTGGCGGTTTGTAATTTTTTTCTTATCTGTCTGTTACTTACGTCTGTTGTCTTGCTTATTTCCTCCAGGACTATCATTCATTTTTATAATTTATTTTTGGTAGAAAGAAAAATGAAGCATTTAAGTAGATTTCTTAGCTTCTACCTTTTGCAAAACATCCAGTTCCACACCATCGTTTTAACTTTGCTTGTGGTTGTCTCTGATGTTGTGTCTCTTGCTTACTAATACTGTCTTATTCATACTCATCTTTTCACAAGATCTGAGGAATGATCAGTGAAAAAGTAAGCAGACACTCCATTTGCGTCAACAATATTGATTTAGGAATGCATGGAGTATTTCCATACATTTGTGACATATTTTTTGTTGTGTCATCACCTAATATTTGTTCTTTATTTTGTTCTTTATTTTGTTCTTTATTTTGTGCTACATTTGGATTACTTCAGTCTGTTTCAGGCCTTTTCTGTTGTTGTTTTCAACTCTACACATCTTGGCTCTTTTTTTTTTTTTAACCAAAACTATAGATACCGGTATGGCCATCTTTTTTCAAGTTTCACTTTTAGTGATTTCAGGTGATCCTACGTGGTTGATGATGATAAAACTACCTCTTTTCGGTCACTGCCGTTTTGTCTCAGCATTCTCATTTATTTACTTTTATTTATGTTGTAGACCATTAGTTTATGGGTTTCCCTCCTTTTGCCTCAGACAAACTAGTTCAAGGTGCTGATTATGCCGTTGCTGCTTGCTCTTTGTTATCAAGGCTTTCACCCCTATCACACAATGTTGACCGTTCATGAGGCAGGCTGCTTTGACTCTGTCCATCAAACCCCGCCTGATATGTGTGGGATATATCCTAGAAGTAAAGAGATGGATATTGATTGTACTTGATAAGACACTTTCCCTATGTTGAAATGAAAGTCACATCCTTTCCATGCAAGCACCTACTTTGTTCTCTCTTATGACTTTTCATCACCTCGTAGTTTGTGAGTTCAACAGGATTATGTGGATAGGTCCCAGTTCTTTTCTTTGCTTCTGTTAATATTCTGGTCTTTCTGAACTCTCCTAGTGATCAGTTGAACATAAATCTTATGACTTTTCCTCACCTCGTAGTTTGTGATTTCAACAGGATTATGTGGATAGGTCCCAGTTTTTTTCTTTGCTTCTGTTAATCTTCTGGTCTTTCTGAACTCTCCTAGTGATCAGTTGAACATAAATCTGAGCCAATGTACTTCAACCTGATTGACTCGATTGTACCAATATTCTCCACTTATTTAGTCATCCATGAGCAGGTGCTAACATTTTTAGTATCTTATGTCTTTCCTTTTCAATAATACTCAGTTCGTCCACTGATGTCGTTTGTCATTGTTGTCAAGATAATGTGTGGTTTGAGGTGTAGATTAATACATCATACTTCCCTTTCACCAATCTGTTTCTTTTTTTTTTTTTTTTTTCTTTTTCATTCAAACCCCCCCCCCCCCCCCCAAGCTGAAAAGTGGGTGGCTGGTGGATGCTCTGGTGTGGTTTGCTTCTTCTCTCCTATAAAAAACTATCGTCTTTCTCTCTCTCTCTCCTTTTTTTGTGTTTGTCACTCTCTTGCAACATCTCTAGTCTTTGGCACTTTATATGACCTTATTGTGTTGCAAGTACCATAAAATGTTTACTAAAACTAAACCAGCTGAAAACGGACATTAATATTAGTAATTTTGTAAAGTACTAAACAAACAAAAAACAACCACACAAGCAAAAAAAAAAGTTCCTTCAGAAAGCTGTTCTATCGTCTGCTTTGAACTTTTTTTTTTCTTTTGGACCTCAAGCAAATGGAAAAGAAAGAAACTCTTAAAAACTTTGTTTAACTTTTCTAAGCAGAAATTTAGTCTTTCAGCAATGCTTTTCAATGATAATTATTATTCATGGGTGTATATGGCATACAATATGAGTCTTGTAACAAAAGGCTGAAGGGCAGTATTAGCAAAAATATAACGGCAACAAAACAGCTCCAACAGTATCCTGCGGTCTTATAATAATAGATAGCATTGGTAATTTGTATACTGGTAGCTAAGATTCCCACTCAATAACAAGCTCTATGCACTTTACAATCTGTATTATTTCCCAGCAGAACTGACAGCATTCTGAAACAATCTCAACCTCTTGGGAAGCAGACGGTACAAACTGCTATTTTATTGGCGCTAAGTTTTGTCGTCTCTTGTCTTCTCAACAGTCAGTGACCAATGTCATGAGACTGTTTAACACATTCCTCAAGAAGAAGAAGGGGGAGCTGAGGGAACACTTCAAACAATATGACAAAGACAAGACTGGAGTTCTACAAGTGGATGATGTCAAAATTTGCCTGCGGAGTGCTGGGCTCAACCTGACCAATGTAAGTATCTTTTACATCTCCCTTTTCCCCCCAAATCCACCCACTCCCTCCCACACTTCCTTTTTATTGAAAGATCTGGACAATTGATTGTCCACAAAATTTCCTTTCTTATTAACATATCTTGCTGAAGGTCACCCTATCTTGCTTGTCCTCCCTTTTAATTCCCCCCCCCCCCCACACACACACACATGTAGTCAAACGTTATTTACCCACAAGAAATTGATGGTGCTTTGGATTTTATCCCCACTTCATCTTTTGTTTTTTTGCTCTGGTTGTGTTTGCTCTTGCTCCTAGCCTGAGAAAATCCTGCTTGGGCTGATGTGTGTATCATCTGCTCCGACAAACACAGAGCTTTTGTTATGAACTATATGAGCATTTTTTCTTTTAGAGATCTTTATTACAAATAGTTATACCATTATACACCTCATCTATTTCTTTTCCTACTGTCTCATCTTTACCCTGCCTACTGTTACTGCCACATAATTAATTTTTTTTTTATAGTCCTCAATGATACTGTTATTGTTATTCTTTTTCTCTTCTTCATTCTCCCTTTCCTAAGTGTCATCATCACTGTTTTTGTCAACTTCATCAGCGACGCTGGTTTCTTTTCGCCACAAATCTTACCAAAGAGTCCATGACAAGATTGGTAAGGCACTGAAGGAGTTAAGTCCAGTTCCATGTACAGTAGGATAGGGAGTTAATTGATTACTTCAAACTGTTAAAATGGCACAAAAGACTTTCAATGTTCTTATTAATCTTTTCACAGCGTTTCCTAAATCTGCTTGTAGAAGATATGGATTCCTCTCACTCAGGTGAAATCAACTACAAGTAAGTTTTCCTCATAGTTTTTGTACAGTATAGACTTTAGTGCCTGTACTGATGTTGGTAATTGTAGATAGAGGAAAAAACGTGCAGATTGTTATAATGATAATAATAATGATAAAAATGATAATATTAATAATAATAATGGTAATGGAACAATACTAGTAATAATAATCATCATCATTATGATAACAATAACAACAAAAATAATAATAGCAGCAACACCATACTACTACTACTACTACTACTACTACTACTACTACTACTACTACTACTACTACTACTACTACTACTACTACTACTACTACTACAACTACTACTACTACTACTACTACTACTACTACTACTACTACTACTACTACTACTGCTGCTACTGCTACTACTGCTGCTGCTACTACTACTACTACTACTACTACTACTACTACTACTACTACTACTACTACTACTACTACTACTACTACTACTACTACTACTACTACTACTAGACCTTAATAATAATAATAATAATAATAATAATAATAATGAAAATAATAATAATAATAATAATAATAATAATAATAATAATAATAATAATAATAATAATAATAATTGTATTTATATAGCATGCATCCACACTCCTCAGCAAGCTAGCTAAGAGCTTTACAGCTATTGTTACCCCAGCAGACCCTAGAACATGCAGAAACGTTCTTGGCTTCCTGAGAAGAATATAGTGCAAGCTGCAGGTTGCACGTGCTCAAACACTTACAAACTGACAAGATCTTTTGCTGTCTATAGCTGAGTAGGCCTACCCATTCTAATTTGGGTGAAGTGAGGAAAATTCATGTAAAGTGATTTTCCCAAGGACACGTTGTCAGGCCCCTTAGGCTGATGCCATGTTGAAACGCCCAATCAAATTGATATTTTTTTCACAGGGATATACTCTCTGGTGCAGCATTCTCCGAACACAGCAGACGCAGACCGTCTCGAGGTTTTCAGCTCTTATCGAAGACCAAACTTGAGCCAGATTCGGATGAGGGCTAGCAAGACTTTTCCAAGAAAAACTTACCTAGGAGAAAAAAACGGTTTTAAAATTCATTTATTATGTGTACATTGTACTAAAAAACCTTGATCAAAGGAATATAAAAATATTGGAAGTCACCAAACTTGGGTGGTTTTTTTCTCGCTAATTTTACATCTGACACTTGGCAACCATCACCGCCTTTAATCACAAATATTTTAACTTGTATTTAAGATAAATGAGTAATGTTTTCATCAAAAGTATGGCAAATGAACAGGCTTTAAGAATATACCAATAACTTTACATTTCCAAAACTTGAAGAGTGCCTGATTCCACTCTTTTGTAACATATCGTTAGCATTGCAAGCAACCCACTTAAGTCTGTTTGAGTATTTATTACACCAGAGACAAAAAACTACTCTTTGTTGTGTTGTTCCTGTCAGGAATCATGAAAAGAAAGAATATTGTAAGCCCTGACCATAGCATTACACTGCATTATGGTGATGTTGAAAGGTGCATCTTTTGACAGAGCTTTGAGAGCTTGTGAAAATAAAAAATTCTCAGAATTTCGACTTCAATGGATTGCTTGAGCTAGTGACAATATGTGTATAAAAAGAAAATTCTGTGTACCAGAGGATGTTGCTCTTCAGTAGGCCAGAAAACAGTCAAATCGTCTTGAAAAAAAAAAATGATTTTCGTGCAGATAAACATTTTTATTTCCTATATAAGTTAATACTCATTAATTCCCTTTTGTTTTTGCATCATCTAATGTTTTAAATGATGTCAACGTTTTTTTGGAAATGGAAGATTCTTGTATTGATTGTATGTCGTACCATCATTTATAAATTTATACAATACATTTTGGAACACAGGAATCTCACTGAAGCTTATTTCTATGTTGGACTTGTTGAGATGGATGTAATATTAACTGGGTTATTAAAATAACCCAAAACATTTTGATTGCTAGACTGTTTTGATCGAAAAAGAAATAGGCTAATCTCCTACAGTAGTATAACTGAATGTTGAAATTTTTTTTTTTTTAAAGCAAAATAATAGTACTTTTTCGAGGGATATTGAAGCCTGCTTTGAACTGGCTGTTAAATATTTCTGAAAGGACATAGTGAAATTACAGGCAGAAGATGGTGACCTGATTTATCATTTCTTGAAAGACTTTATGCTGTTGTTTGAGTTTGGGCTTGTCATTTATTTGAAACTGGATGTGCCAGTATTACAATTAAAATTCATCATTGCATTCACCCACTCATCTTTTTCTTAAAAATTTTATTTTTTAATTTGTGATATCTAAGTCAGGTCTTCTCCTTTGAGATGTAATTATACCACATTGTATGGCCATCATATTGATGGTTGTCAGCTCTACATACGTTTGTTTGATATCTCCTTTTCTTACACTGGTACACTAATTTGATAATGTGGAAATCGTTTATCATCATTCCAAGCTTGCATATCTTTACAGCACTCTCATACTCTTGTACTCTTGTATAAAGACACTATACTTTGAGCACACAGTTTTGTTGATATTTGTGATCATTTTAACTTTGAAATTAAATTTTTTTCCCCTCAGGGTGATGGGTTCTGGCAGAAAGTTGTCACAAAAAAATGTCAATCTTCCTTCCCCATAAACTAATTTTCTGAAAAATTGTGTTAATTTGGATGTTAACTGGACTATATTTTCAGTGTGTACAATGAACATTATTTTGGGCAAATTTTTGCTTGTTTATATTGAAAGTCATCTTTTGTCATTTTGTGTTCACTTAAAGATCTCTTGTAATGCTAAAAAATAACTATCTCAATGCGCACCAGGCTATTCTCTGAGCTGCAGAGACAGCTTGAAACTGGCTAAACAAGTTTTGATGGCATGGTGTGCATATCATAATCCATTGTGCTGTGATAGTATGAATGTTTGCTTATGTGTTAGAGTTAATCAAAAGAGTGTATGCATATTTTATTCACTTGTGTTTTGTGTTGAATAAGTATGGTATAGCACCTAGAGCTGTATTGTATGGGAGCAGGTGCTATAGAGATTATCTGCATTATTACAATTATTATAATTATGATGAGTGTTTTCCAGGATTAGCATATATTTTCTGTAAAATTGAATGTGTTTCGAAACCAAAGAACCAGCCTATCTGATCTCTTTTCTCCTGATATAATATTGTTGTGGCGTTGCCATTCTAATTTCTATCAATCATACTGTTTAGATGTGTGTATAACGGTACACCATATCCAAGATGTTCTTTTGTACTGATATTGTTCCCTTGAGATGTTAATTTACATATCCAGCATCATACATTTTGATGGTGCATGTTGAGTGCATTTGACTTTCCAGAATGTTTTCAGTGTGAGTAGTTTTCTTTCATGTAGACAGTAATGGATGACAAATCCATGGTAGATGGGATTAGCCCACGGTCCCACCAACAGATTATGATGTGCTCTTTTTATTCACCAATGCAGTATTTGTTGTCTATCTCTTGCACTTTCTTTGTCTTCTGTTGTTCTTTCTTTTTTCCTGTCTGTTGACTGAGGGTCTATCTAGCAAATTGTAGACCTCAACTCACAATTGACCTATTTTTAAAAACAAGAATCACTTGATCACTGCGCATATAGCTGAACTTTTTTAACATGTCCAAAGAGAATAATCATTTTTATATAGCCCATAATTAGCTCTCAAGGCAAGGAGTTGTGATCAGTATAGTAGTCAATGTAAGAGAAGTTTATTATTCTTTTATTTTGACTGTTTCATTTTTTACTGGAAATGTGGCTGGAATGAGCCCCAAGTATGTGTTTTTTCTCTGCCATTGACCTCTTCTTTGGACAGGTTATCTTACATTTTTTCCCTTTACTTTACTCTGTGTTTTGTTCTACGTTGTATGTATATTCTTCATTATGAAAGCCTATAGAATGTAATTGATAAAAGATGATGCAGATGCTGCAGTTCCTTAACTCTTCATGGCCATAGTATTTTCCCCACTTTGCCATACTTTTTTTTATGCAACCACTATTTCACTACATGGTCACACACAAAGTTTGAAATGTCTTGCTAACTACACGAGATAACCTCATGATGTTATATATAAAAACCTCAGCAGAGTTGGCAGATTGTAAATTTACCAAAGTTTAAGTGGTAAGTGCAATATGAAGAATGTTATTGGACAAATTAATTTGAATTTGAATTAAAAAATTTGAAAAAAAAACCCCCTGCATAGGCCTAACATGAATTATACCCACCAAGACCTAACCTTCAGTGATTTTCACGCAACAAACACATTTCCTTAGCCTTTTCTGAAGGGATACAAACTCTTTTTGTCATCATATCACCAGATGGCCCTTGTCGCTGAGACATTGTTTATCCAATCAGCTGGTCGCAAAATCAGGTCACCAATTTCTGAACACAGAAAATGAATCAAAACTCAAGTAAAACCGCAAGCTGTATAATTCACAAAAACGAAAGTTGAAAAGGACACTTCAGTGCTTTTCTTGCAGTAAATTCCCGTTGTTAAAAATTTCGGATTCTCGAGATGAGGAAAGAAAACCTGTCAAAATGGGTAACAACGCTCATAACATTGTTGTGGCTGAAGCAGTCATACCGGAACAACACTGACAGCATTGTTTAGGCCATGAAGAGTTAAGAACTGCAATACAGATAACCCAGGGTATGTCCACCTGGCTAGTGAAAGTGTCCATTGTCACTGAGAATCGTAGTGTTAGTAAGCATTCAAAATTGAATAAGTGCAAGCTCAGGCCAACTTCTATAGATGCCTGTTATGCTTGCTGATTTAATCACTTTATCTTCCATGTATTTTAAAATGTTTTTCTGTCAAGAATTCCTCTTTGTCAAGTGTTAAATGAATGTTCTGAATTAGAATTGATATCTTATGTTGTTATGTTTTTGTTCTTATAGTGAATTGAGGATCATTTAATTATATTTTTAAAAAATAACTTCAGTGATGTTTGTCATATATTTACCATAACCCAGTCACACCCATTCTGTGCCATTTGATAGTCACACTTTTTGTTTTTAATACAATCTAATACTGTCTAGTTTATCATTTGCCATTAGGGCTTGATGAGAAGAGAATGCAGGTAAAGTGGTAATTAGCAACAGCTGTTAAAACAATAATCAAAATGTATGTACCCATATGCACGGCTCCTTCTTGCTTAGACAGGTAGGCTACTCAATCACATTCCAAACCCACCAGTATTATGCCCTCTTTGGTGCCTCATTGCACGAGCACTTGGTATACTCACTTTATACTCTTGTAGTTTGTTCTACACTGCTATGCTCTTTGTAATGTTAATTCTTTGTCTATTTGTTGATTTAATTATTTCTTCACCCTCTACACCACAATGTTAGGGAGTGGAGATCTCTTGTTTCTTTTGTTCTGGAGTGACCATTCACTAATGACAGCTTGGAACTTTTAATTTTAGAAGTGACATTGAAACTTGCCTGATTCGACCTACATGTAATTGCAACATTCTACTTGTATCTTTCTGTGTAGCATGGAAATTGGAAATTTGTGGTTATATTAACCTTTTCTGGAAGAAAGGAAACACCGGTGTGTACTCAATATTTTAAATTATGGTTGTTGTTTTTTTAAAAAGGGAAAGTGAAACAGTTGAATTTGCGCTTTATAAATCAATGGAAATATATTTGTATAAGTACTCCCAGATTGATTCATCCCAATGGTATTAATGAATGGGTCTGTGGCTCAAGGTATACATAGATCTCTGCACTAAGTTTTTCTTTTCTACTTACAAAGGGAAATGTATTTTCATTATAATTATTTATTTGAATGTTTCACCGTATTGATATTTTGATGCACAAATCAAAAGTTCTAATGCACAGCTGTTGCTGCACTGTGAGTGTGAGGTACTCTTTTGTTGAAATGTTGAAATGGTCATAATCTGCATTTATGATTTCTTTGACAAATTGAAATGAATACTTGTATTACACTTGTGGGAGAAAGAAGGGGTTGGCTGGGTAATAAAATGATAAAATGGGGAAGTAAGGTATTTTAAAAAATAGAATGAATTAAATGCAGCAATGAGACTACATGTGTTATAAAGTTTAATTTAAACCAATCAAAATGATGGTGGTTTGGGGTTTGTGTGTGCGTGTGTGTGTGTGCGTGTTGTGTGTGTGTGTGTGTGTGTGTTTGTGTGTATGTGCATTTTTGGTATGGCTAAGGCATTGGAATGCTGGTAATGAAAAAGAAATTGGATACAGTAAGCGCTCATATGACCTTATGCAGTTGCGAGCGCCATAAAACCCTTTACTATAATGAAAAATGGATACAGTAAGGGCCCAATGGCATAGATAGAGGATTTTTACTTTAGTTTGTGTGAGAAAATAACTTGCACTCTAATAATTTTCTGTGTTTGGACTAGTTTTGCGGCGCGCTCTAAGTTCACACGGTGCTATCTATAGATGTTCGTGTCACCATTGCTTGTATTATTTCATTGAATTATAGAATAGACAATTTTTATTTTCTTCACATGCACAA